TCAACTTGCCAGGTGGTGGCACACACCTGTAATTCCAGCACCCAGGAGGCTGAGACAGAATGAATCTGAGGCCATTGTGGGCTACGCAGTGAATGCAAGGCCAGCCTGGACTATATAGCGCAGCCCTGTTTCCAAAACACCAAAAATTAAATAAATAAATAAATTGGGACCAAGGAGATGGCTCACTAGAATAAGCGTTTGCCTGGCAAGCACAAGGGCCTGAGTTCAATCCCGGGTTCTGCCAAAATAATAATAATAATAATAATAATAATAATAATAATAATAAATAAATAAATTTTAACAAGTTAAAACACTGATTTTCAACATTAGTTGACCTGAAAACAATACCCCTGTTCAGTCCTCTATAGTACTACTAAACGGGGATTTACGTTTTTGTGCCCTAGGTAGCCCTATTATAAAATACATTATCAACGCATTACTGTGCCTTTTGCCATTCTAAATAAGCACGCATGCACACTAACATCAAATTTGTCGGCCAAAGTTGAAATCAGAAGAATTACAATTTAATAGAGAAGTTACAGGGTTCTAGGCTGAGTTCCATTATAGACACTTCTCTTTTAGTGACCAAGTTACAATCCTGTACTAGGTCATTTAATGATTGGTCACGAAATGAGGAACCGCACACAGTATACACATAATATTCCAAACAAAGACATGGTCAAAAGAAGCTCCAACTTTATTATTATTTTTCTTAATCTTTTATTTCTTTAGTTGGTACAGGGTCTCACTATGCAGCTTGGACTCCTGGGAATCCTCCTATCTCAGCCTCCGCAGCAATGGGATTACAGGCATGCTCCACCACGCGCCATTTCCTGTGCCTGGATGTGGTACTGGGGATCAAACCTGGGTCCTTGCGCTTGCCAGGCCAGGCGCTTAGAACACCGAGCTATTTCTCCAGCCCAAACAAAACCATTCTGCATATATGCCTAAATATTTCTTCTTCCCTTCTTTCATGTGTCTTTTTGCTCACCCCAGTTCTTTCTTCCCAATGAACAAATTCTTTCCCTTTCAATTTTTTAAATTGTGTATCATTTTTAATATCTTAACTACTATTTTCTATTATCTTTACAAAAAATATTTTGGATGCAAATAAATGCTTCATATTAAAAAATAAAAAGTGTCAAAAAGTTTGTGGGCTTTTAGTTTTTGGCCTGCCTTTTCCTCACCATAAATTATTTAAAAATCTATAGCATACAGAGGGTGCTTTTAGAACTTGAGGTAGCCAACAAAATACAAATACGGGTGGAAGAGCTTCCAGCTACCCTGCGCCTGCAGGACCTACTGGTCCCAGCCCAGGCGCAGCGTGGGTGACACCCTCCTTAACCCCATCATTCCATAGTACCCCACCACACCCCACAGAAACTAAGCAACTGCAGTGAAGACGGTAATCTGTAATAGTAGTTTTATGCTCGGAGTACCTGTCATTCTGGTCTTCTGAATATGGTCTGCTTGTCATGACATGCCAGTTCCTGCTGTGCTGTCTCTCAGGTAGATGATTGATCAAAAAGAAGTGGGTGGTGAATGAAGGCAAGAGATAGGAAAAGGAATACTGTGGGACTGTCCTGCTTCAAGGTTGTACATGGTCAGATTTTTGGACTTATGTGTAAACATAAGTATATAATTCTTTATGCCTATTTTAAAAAATATATTCTAATTTTTAAATGGTTTTTTCCATCATATTCTCTAGGGACTTAAAGTTCAACATATCAATACTTGATGAAAAATACCTGTTCTATATTATACCTAAGATTTTTTTTTTTTTTTTTTTTTTTTGGCGGAACCGGGGATTGAACTCAGGCCCTTGCACTTGCCAGGGAAGCGCTTATTCCACTGAGCCATCTGTCCAGCCCCTTAAGATGTTTGATATTCAGACAGATAGTGAGGTTAAGCTTAACAGCCTAGGTTGTATGGTTTTAACAATAAGCTTGTCTTCTGGATGGTTAACAACCTAAGTTTGCTTACCAAAATTAGAGAAAAAGGAGGGCCGCAAGGAAAGCCAACATTTTGGCCCTAGCCTTCCAAGGTCAATTAAGACTCAGGACATATGAGAACTTGTACTGTAACGTCATGTAACTCAGTAGCGTCCCAAATTTTCTGATCAAGAAGATTATGGGGCCAAAGAGGAAAGTGATCGATGATGTAGAGTGTGCCTAAGAAGAGTCACATGAAGAGAAAACATCCTCTCAAGCTTTCACAGAGAGCACATTGGCCAAACAATGGCTGTGACTCGTCCACATGGCTGACACTGAGGTACAGGATCTCAGGAAAAATCCTGAGGCGATTTCACTGACCTTATCAGACCCAAAAGCTACAACTCTTGTTGCATAGGTCCTGCTTTATCTTGGTCTTAACCATCCAGCAGAAAAGTATAAAAACGAAGTATAAGAAGTACAGCCATGCTGTTATGTTGAGCTGTAGGGGATTTGGGTCAACAATTTCTGACACTGCCAGTGAAGCGGAAGACCCAATACTATTATGGACTACTAGACTCTTTTAGAATATTTTACTGAGTTTACACACCTATACTATTTAAATGATGGAACTTAACAAAAAAGGGGGATACAGATGAATGTCCATTTTGTATCTGTGGTTAGGATATAGTTACATTCTCTTAACTAATAGAGGGATTTGTTCTAATGGTGTTTGTAAATGGGATATCAAATCCGCATCTTATATAGCAATTAACCACTAGGAAGAATGTATGCAATGTGTTAATTATTGAAACTGTCCTACCAATTTGGTTTGAAACTGTCTCATTGCTATTTGTTTCTCAATAAAATTATGGAAAAAAAAATACAAATTCACCTGAGGGACCTTTATACTAGAGACGGGCAATAAAGATTTAGCACTGACCCAAGAATCAGCTTTGGGGCCCGCGAGATAGCTCAGCAAAACGGCTTCTGCCTGGCAGGAGTGACATCCTTAGTTCAATTCATGGTACCAAAAGAAAAGAATGTGCTATCACCCAGTAAAAGAATTTCATCTTTTCAGTTCTACCAAAAAATGGCTTCTTTTCAGGGCAAATGATTTGCTCCAGGAGTTCCCAAGCCAGGCTGTCTGGAATATTGTTTAAGAATGACTGCTGCTAAAAATGTTTCATAAATGAGATTAATTTCAGACACCCAAAGAAATGTACCACAGCAGATACCTATTTCTCCACCACTTGAAAGTTAGACCCAGACACGGAAAGCATAAGAAAAGCTCTACTTGCCATCGTCTGGGACTGACTGTTCCTTCTCAGCCGCCTAACACTGAGCCTCCCTCCCACTCTGGCCAGATGCTCTGCTGCTGCGCGTCCGCAGCCGCCCTTCTCCCCGAGAAGACATCTCGTGCAGATGCTAGCCTCTACTCCCGGTCACGCAAACGAGGCTGGGAAAGACACACAGGAGGCAGAATGAACTAAAACAGGATCTGAGGCCAGGCATGGTTTTGCACGCCTGTACTCCCAGTACCAGAGAGGCTACAGTTCAAGGCCAGCCTGAACGACACAGTGACATCTTGTCTTAAAAAACAGATTTTTTTAAAAAAGAGCCTCTAACACAAAGGTTTCCAGAAGAAAACAAGGACAACTGTCAAATATCAAAAGAAATCCACCAGCACTGATACGGTATAAAGAAAGGAGGAACTTTACAAAGAAACGCGGTCATGTTTAATGAACTCACTATGCACTGTCTCCCCTGGGTCAGCAACACGTTTATAGTCTTCTGATTAAAACTTGTCTTACCAGAATAAAGAACATTCTAAAAACATCAAATAATCAATATGCAGCTAAAATTCCCTTCTTTCATTCAAGAATCTTCCACACTATCAATTTGAGGAAAAAATACAGCTTCTTATTGAATGTCCCCCATGCAATAAGATGTTTCCCTCTCCCCTCAGCACTTTCTGTAAAACAGAAATCTTGAGGCTCCATCAGGTACAATAGTCTTCCCCAAAATATTAAAACTGAATTTAATCTTTTTTTTTCTTTTCTTTTTTTTTTTTTTTGGCAGAACCGGGGATTGAACTCAGACCCTTGCACTTGCCAGGGAAGCACTTAATCCACTGAGCCATCTCCCCAGATCCCTAAAACTGAATTTAATCTTGATGGAAAGATCAGACAAAATAAACTACAGGACCATTCTACAGAGTTACTAGCCTGAGCCTTTAAAACACTGACATATAATAAAGAACCAAAAAAAGCTGGTACAACTGTTTGAGATTAGAGACCCAAAGAGAATAATTAAGTATATGTAACAAGCAATTCTTCATTTGAAATAACGTTATTGCCAAGGACATAGCTCAGTAGAATAAGCACTTGCCCGGCAAGTGCAAGGGCCTGAGTTCAATCCCCAGTCCCGCGGAAAAAAAAAAAAAAAAAGAAATAACGTTATTGTATTTTTACACACACACACAAAAAAAAAACATTAAAAGAACACTATTGGCATAACTGGGAAATGGTATACCAATACTAATGCCTGATGTGTGACTATGTTTCTGTTATGTAAAAGGTAAATTAATTCTTATGTGTGCTGGGGGTGCAGCTAAATGGTAGAGGATTTACCAAGCCACAAAGAAGAAAAAGTCTTCTCTAAGAAATGCATAGCATTTTGAGGGGTACACTGCCCTAAGTTCTGCAACAATTCAACAAAAAATTGCGATTATGCGTGTCTATAATCCCAGCACTCTGAGAGGCTCAGGCAGGAGGAGTTTGGGCCCTGTCTAGGCAATTTAGCAAGACCCCGTCTCAAACTAAAACGTAAGAAGCTGAGGATGTAGCTCAGTGGAAAGGCCCTAGGTTTAATTCCCACTACAAGGGAAAAGAAAGGCCGTGCACACCTGCGCACGTGACCACACCTCGGGGAACGATGCACACAAGATAGCAGTTCACAACAGGCACGTTTGACAAGGGGTATGCAGTCTTCTTCTAGTCTCGCCAGTTTTCTGAATGCCTGAAAACGTCCAAGTAAGTACTGAAGAAGAAATAAAATCTTGCTCACCAGTTGCTTGACCTTGACCGCTGCTGGAATCCCAGCCGGCTGTGGAAGAAGCGTGCCCGGCTGCGTGAGTTGGATTTGGACAGGTGTGCCAACGACAGGCTTGTCCAGCGTGGCCCCGGCAGAAGCTGCAATGGGTTTCACAGGTGGAAGACAAAGAGCTGTGGCCGACTTATCTCCAAAAGTGACTGATGGCAGGGCCAGTGTTACCGCTGCTGCAGAGACAATTGGTTTTTCAGGCTGAAGGGTGACCGTCGTCACTGAGTTCGGCACCGATGTCACAAGCGGTTTCGAGGTCTGGAGCAAAACCGTCCCAGTGGATGTTCCGCCTGGCACTGCAGCTGGGCCCACAGGATGCAGGGTCACAATGCCAGCCTTTGCTCCTGCTGGACCGACAAGTGGATTCAGAGCTTGCACAGACACGGGGGTGGGCACAGCTGCCGCAGAAGCAATGGTGGGCTTCACAGTCTGGGCTGAGGACGCTGCAGCTGTCACCACAGGAGAAGCTGTGACTGCTGGGGTACAGGTGGCAAGGGCGAGCCTGCCGGGAGTCTCCTGGACACACTGCTGAATGAAGCTCTGGGAGTTGGGCAGAAGCTGTCGCAAGGCAATCACACTCTTCTAGAAACAGAGAAGAGAGGGATCTGGTACTAGTAACATCAACTTTCATAATGGAATTGAAACATATACTGGGGTAGCACACATCCTAGCCGAACACTACCCACGAGCTACAGCCCCAGCACACAATGATGGAGTTCTTGTTTTCACAACATAAAGTGAACCTGAATTCTATCAAGTATTTCAGGGGAGAAAACCTGTTCTCCTTATTTTGTATTATCAGTATCCAAGCCACAATCAACCTAAAGTCAGGATATACTTTACTTTTCAATATAAAGCTATCAGGACTCAATATTAAACTTACTTTGGATACTTTAATTATCAGTATGGTAGAATAGAACACTGTATCATACCTCTCTGTACCCACGTACTGCCCATAATAGATCATTAGTGACCTTGATAGCCAAAAGCTTATTTACAACATAGCAGAATCTAGATCTTCTGTTTAGTAACTTTCCAACTTTAGACAAAAATAGTCTTTACACCAAAATAAAACTAATACAAAATGAATTTCAAGATCCAAAACCATTTCCATAACTTAGGCAGCAAGACCGCCAACCAAATTTGCAGTCAGTGTCTGTCTTGCCAACCTGCTGAAAAAGGAAAGAGTTCAAAATAAAAGGCATGTGGCACGTTGTGGGTTGAGAAAAAGATCCCAAACTAGATAGGTGTGAAAGATTATTGCCACTGACTGGGAAGACGTCCTTCTGGTAACACCTAGATTCATCTGGACCATCTAATAAAAGTACTCAAGAAACAAAACTTTAAAGAACAAAAATAAAACCATAATCCCGTCTTAAATAAAGGGCAACTACCATCCCCCCTTCATTTACTTCTGGAAAAAAAAAAGAAAAAGAAAAACATTCAGAATATCTGGAGAGATTTTCACACTTTATATATGTAAAATCCCTCATAATCTTTCTAAAATTCCAACGTGTCAGAATCAGACACTGAACTGCCTTGGAAATATATGAGGAAAACAACAAGCTTAAACTGGAAATCTAAGAGGGATTATCAGGAAAATGTAATTGGAGAGATACGTTAGAGCATCTCTTAAAGATGTGTCTATGAGTTATCTCTTGCCTACCTGGCCAGAATTAAGTTAAAATGCCGAATCCCTAATTTCTATGAATATCTATCCCCTCTAAAGTTCTCAAGGATAAAAGAAAAAAAATAAATAAAACACGAGTGCAAATCCTCCATGGTATTAATTTATAATGAAATAGTCAGATAAATTCTAGATCTGTGAGGTAACCGACCTAAATGGTTTCGTCCTCTGTAAAATGAGAACTGCTCCCTAGCACAAATTCCCCGAGGACACAACAACTGTACACACCCAGAGCAGATCACATGAAGGTACCTAGGGGATCACTGCTGTGGGTTTGATCTTGGGTGTCCCTCAAGACCCATGTGTTAAAGGCCCAGTCCCAGCACGGTGCTAGGAGGCAGCAACAGGGACTTCAAGGGATGGGGCCCACAGTCCGGCCTCATTTGGGGGCTGCCTGCCTCCAAGGGGGGTGTGGGACCCTGGGGCTTTCTTCCTCCTGGCTCCCTTCCTGGCCACGAGGTGACAGGTTTTACTCTCCGTAACACCTCCACCAGCGAACTGCCTTGCCACAAGACCAAAGCAATGGGCCAGCTGGTCATGAACAACACTCTCTCAGGCTTTCACAGAGAGCACATTGGCCAAGCATTGGCTGTGACTCATCCACATGGCTGACACTGACAAAGGTTCTACAATCTGAGGTACAGGATCTCAGAATAAATCCTGAGGGCATTTCACTGACCTTCTCAGACCAAAAAGCTACAACTCTTGTTGCACAGGTCCTGCTTTACCTTGGTCTTAACCATCCAGTAGAAAAGTATGAAGACGAAATATAGGAAGTAAAGCCATGTTGTTAGGTTGAGCTGTGGGGGACTCAGGTCAATAATTTCTGATACTGCCAGTTAAACAGAGGACCCAATGCTATTATGGGCTACTGGACTCTTTTGGAATATTTTGCTGAGTTTACACACCTATAATATTCAACAACAGAACTTAAAAAAATTGGGATATAACTATGAATGTCCATTTTGTATCTGTGTATTCAAAGTGGTTGGGATAGATATATAGTTGCATTCTCTTAATGAATAGAATGATTTGTTCTAATGGTGTTTGTAAGTAGGATCACAAGTCTGCATCTTGTACAGCAATTAACCACTGGGAAGAATGTATGCAGTGTATTATTAAAAAGAAAATAACATTTTTGGTCTACAAGCTTTGAAATACTACATAAATATAACATATGTATGTGATAGTACAAATCTGATGATGTCTGCCTATACTTGTACAGAAATTGTATACCTAAACCCATGCAAATTTTCCTATGAAGAATTTTATTGTTATCAAAAAAAATAAAAGCAAAAAAATAAATAAATAAATAAATAAAAGCAAAAAAGAGCCTCTGCAGCTAGGAGTCAGATAAACCTTCTGTCTTTGAAAGTGCACTATCCTGGGTATTTATTATAGTAATAAAAAGCTAACACAGCACTGCCCCACCGCAGAGAGTCATGCATTTCATTCCTTTTCCCCCACAGTGCACCGATGATTACAACCCATAAATTAGAAGTTGTCCTTTGTATTTTATGGAATGCACCAAGTGCTCAAGAACCTCTTTACTGTTCTTAGCTGACTGCAATAATGGAGAAGAAGTCAGCCCATTAACTCGGGAGATGGCTTAGGGTCTGGGGAGACGGCTCAACAGAATAAGCGCTTCCCTGGCAAGTGCAAGGGCCTGAGTTCAATCCCCGGTTCCATAAATAAATAAATAAATAAATAAATAAATAAATAAATTTCACTTTAATTCCCTTGTAACTTCTAAGAATAGAAATGGATTTTGTAGGTTGCCAAAACAAGCTCTTGTTATATAAATTAATTCTGAAAAATTACATGCTTCCAGGGGCTGGCCAAATAGCTCAGTGAATTAAAGCAGCTGCTTAGGCAGACGCAGGGGCCAGGGTTCAAACCTGGCGTACCATGCGGGCTCCACCCCCGGGGCACGCTGAGACAGTAACTGAGACTGGGCATGGTGGACATGTCTGTAATCCCAGCTCCTGGGAGGATGAACTCAGGTGGATCACTACGAGTTCGATCTACATAGTGAGACCCTACAGACCCTGTAGACCCTTACTAAAATACAAAAAAAAAGAAAGAAAAAAACTACACCCTTCCAGGAAATTCTAGGAGAATGAGTTATTAAAACAGGAGCCCCTATTTTCACATAAACAATCCCTTCAGTATACATTCAAGTATTAAATAATACCATCAAGTTATCCTTGTTTTTCAAAAATATTCAAAAGAAAGCGATACAATGACAATATCAGCTTCAGTGTACAGAGGTTTGTAAGGGTTGCGCCACACAGTGAGTACCTCCATGCAGAACCTGTATCACACTGAAATATCCAAGTTTAAAATTATTTTAAGAGACATGACATTAAAAAAGAAATCTGACACAAAAACTACCTTCAAAGATAAACATAGCACTACCTTAAGGAAAGGAACGAGGTGAGGCTGAGGCGATGACTTCAATTCAACATACAGTTTCTTTGTAAATTCTTCTGCTTCAATTTTTGCATCCTAGGGAATGGGAGGGAAACAAATTTTAGATATATAAATATTGATTGTAAAAGGCAAAAAAGCAGGCCTGTGAATACACACCATGGTCCTGGCCTCTCGGGAGGGTGAACCAAGAGGGCCACCAGAGCCACTGCCAGGACAGCACAGCAGACTCCATCTCTTTAAAAATGATTAAAAAAAAAAAAAAGATTAAAATTAAAAAAATAGAAGAAGCCACGTATGTAACTCATGACTGTAGACAGGCTTTACACAGGTGGCAAAGACCACCATTACAAGGAGGCTTTTTTTCCCGGCCACCAAAGAAATAAAGCCTGAATACTGCAGTGCCTACAGGGATCACAGCAGGAGCTGATGGGCTGACTTCTCCATTATTGCAGTCAGCTAAGAACAGTAAAGAAGGGTAGTGGTAAGACATAGGAAGTTAATTTGTTTTGGGGCCTCAGGCAGACTCGGGCCGAGAGTTCGATCCCCAGCTGCAGTGTGGACCCCGCCCCCGGGGCGCACGAAAATGCCCATTGAGATTGGTGCAGTAGCACATGCCTGTAATCCCAGCTCTTTGGGAGGCTGTAAACAAGAGGATCAGTATGAGTTCAATCTACGTAGTGAGACCCTGCACCAAATACATAAAATATAATAATAAAAATAAAACAACAAAATTAAAATTGTAGAAAATTTATAATCACTTCTATGGACTTGATGGTTTCCTAGGAGTTAAAAGAATTTTCATTTTATTAAGAGTAGGAAAATTGGGGCCTGCCTGTTAGCTCAGTTGTTTAAAAGCGCCTACTCATACAAATGCAGTCAGGCGCCGCATACTGTGGTTCGAACCCCACCTCTACCTGCCTTACCAGACCCTCTCTTCAAGCAGGCTGAGCCAGCCAAAAAAAAGAAAGAAAGAAAGAAAAAAAATCCTTCAAGTGTAGGGACAATTTATTGGGGAAAAGGACTAGAGAATAGGAATACTCCTGAGAGACCAGAGGGGTCAACAATGGGTTACTTTAAAAGAATTTTCTGCTAAAACTGTCAGTGAAATTAATGAGCATGTTATTTTTGTCATCATAAAGTCAGAAAAAAATTAGAAATCTGCATAGTTCAACTAATAATTCCCAAAAGACCAACACAAACTATGACAAAATCATACCCTGATAAAATTCCATTCACCACGTAAGATAAGTCAGTGTACTCTAAAGAGCAGCCAACATACTGGAGAAAGCTACGACACTGCTCGCTATTTCAAGCCCCTCTTCACGTGGGACCAGATATTTCCCAAATACTCTTTAAAAAAAAAATCACAAAGTAGAGTAAATGCAGAAGCAAGTAAGAGAATCCAGGTGCCTTCTATTAAATTGGGCCTTAAAAAGATTTATAAAATGTAAACCAACACTGTTTTCTTCACTCAATTTTATTGCATCAGATGCTAGCTACATTTTTCATTCAAATGTTATTTATGCTAACACACAAGTTTATTGGTACTTTTAAAAATAAATCCTTTAAATTTCATAGTTTCAATTCCAGGACCGCCAAAAAATAAAAATGACTGAAAGAAGCCTTGTTTTTTGGGAATATAAAAGTATCCAGAAACTAAAATATTTGAGTGCTCCTGTCTGCTGTTCTAAGATAAACAGGACATTTAATTAATTCCTAACTATTGCTATCTTTCTGCAAAATTCACACATATCTTCCAGGCTTAAAAACTTTAAAACTTTTACAGAACACATGTTGTCTTTTAGCAGGTCTCTCTATCTAAGTATTTCATTTCAGAGGTCACACCATCATTCATAT